TTTTCCTTTTTTTATTACAACAATGAAATAAAAATTGGAAAGAGACTTTAAAAGTGCCATGGGAAAAATTACAAGGTAAAAATGCACTTGTTTTTCAATTCTTCAATAATGAATTACCTCTTTACTCTTGTGCTACTATTCCAGTCTGGATACTTCAAGTTATCTGCAATGATGTTTCAACCAATATTGAATTAATATAGTGAATTTAGTTAAAATCAGACCTGGTATTGCAGCTTCTGATTATACTCATCTATAGAGCAATATATAATGCAAGAGGAAAGTAGTGATTAAACTCTTACTTGTATCTGTATATTACTCTTAATTTATTTTTGTGAGAGAGTTGTCACATGCAGAGGAAGTTGCTACTGGAATCTAGTGGATAGGGACCAGGAATGCTGCTAAACATCCTATAATATGGAAGGCACTCCCTTACAGCAAAGAATTTATTAGTGATATTTAGATGTGCATTTTTCCTTGAAAATTATTATGACCTATTGTAGCTATCAAAGGTCCATTTTTCAGTTCTTTTTAAGAAAGATTCTTAATAGCTATTGTCAATTTTTTTTCCTTCACATATAATTGTTTCCATTGATGTAGATAAGTTTTTATTTAAAAAGTAAATAAAACACACATAAGACCTTTCAAGAAAGAGCATTTCAAGATGGTCTTGTTTAGATACAATATTTAGGTATATTTTTTGTAATCTCATAAAACTCACACAGTATTTGAATTCAGGAGTTTTATCCATCTTCAACTCTGTTTAAATGCCTTAAACCAAAAGCCATGACCAAAATGCATTTAAAATAGCCTAAATAGGAGATCAGGAGAAACCAGCCCAGATGAGCAGAATGAGGATCATGAGGTGTCTTGATGCAACCCAGCTTCTTCACAGTAAAGTTTTCATGTGACAAACTGCATCACACTGAGGTAGATCCCCTGAAACTACCAGGATCTGAGAATGTCTGCTCAGGATTTCCATTGCCTTAATCTCTCACATAGTTTTGGTCTTTATTCACTTTCCTCATCACATTGGTGTCTTTCTTGGATATATCTGTTGACTAGTGCTTTCCAAATGATTTTCAGATATGTTTTCTCCTTTGATGCCAACAAATAACCTTCTAACTATCTTCATTGCACAAACAGATATATAATGGATTAACAGTACCTCCAGGCCTGGCCTTTTGTATAATCGTTCTCACTCTATCCTATTTCCTCTTTACTCCACCACCACATAACAATTTGCCCCATTTTCTGCCCCTTTCCTAATGGAGCTTATTTTTATTGCCAGTTTGTTTTATATCTCTTTATATAAAAATCTGTTCCTTCTATAAGTGGGTAATTAGAAAAGATGAGTCAGTTTACAGGTAAAAGCATCACCTCAAGTAAGACATTTAAGGATAAAATGTAAAAGTCACTCTCTGTGAAGTAATAGTAAATCTACTACCACTGGCAATTACTATTTATTTCCCTTCTCCCTTTCAGCTTCTGCTGCCACATTTATGCCTGAATACAAGGTCAGGGATGGGAGGTAGAGCTTATTGGCTCCTTATCCTGGATTCATCACTTGTCAGCCATGGAAAAGTTACTTAATCTACCCATGCCTCAGTTGTGCTATGTGTGAAATGGAGATGATGACAACAATGTCATTGACCTCCCTTTCTTATTGAAAAAAAATTATATTAGATAACACAGGTAAAGTGCATAGCATAGTCCTTCTAAAATGTGAGCACTGAGTAATTGCTTATTATTGTATTTTGTAGCAAAGCACCCTGAAATGTGGTCATGTGATTTTGTTCTGTAAAAGGTTTTGATTTTGTTAATAAAAATTATGAACTATTAAGGTCATATTAAAGACATCTCACTATGCATGTATCTAGTTTTTCAGTTCTCTATTTACCTAAGGTCAACTTCATAAACCAATCTTTATTGAGCAATTTCTACAGACTCTTACTATAGTGGTTTTACTATAGTGGTTCTAAACTAGGGATAACTTGCATGGCAAGGAGATACTTGACAATATATGGAGATAGTTTTTATCATCACCACTAGGACCTGCTATGGCATCAGGTGGGCTTAGGCCAACAATGCTGCTGAACATCCACAAATGCAGGACCGCTCCCACAACAAAGAGTTATCCAGCCCTAACAGTCAATGGTGCATCACCATTTAGGAGCCTTACTCTTCTGGTAAAGGAAGAAGCATAAGATGTCATCACTGCAAGCAGTTTAGTTAGATAATACCTGTCAAATAATACAAATGTGTTTAGAATGGTACCTGTTAACACAGAAATAGGGTCATGGTCAGTTCATCTTGAGAGCTGGTTGGCTTCACGAGAAGGCTTATAAACAGAGACATAACTGTATGTTTAGATAAGTCATGTGGCCTTGAAAAACATACCTTAAAAGCATCTGGTTTATAAAAATTTAATATAAAAATTAGATATTGTATTTCCAACTACTTGCCATATTATTTCTTTGAGCTACTTGTTGGAATGCTATCAATACTTTTCTTTAAGTGAAGACTACATACTCTATAGTAGGAATGTAGGTTTAAATAATGCAAGTTGATATTGATATTACCTGGCATTTTGAATTGGCATAATAAAGTGGTATTTATTTATTGGTAGATTTTAATGTATTTTGAAATATTCCATTTCACAGTCATTTGCATTAACTGATGTTTATGTGAACATGACCAATATCAATGGCATTTGCATGTGGTCACACAATTACTATACTTGTTCTTGTTCCTACTGAAGATGAAATCAGTCTCTTTTTTACCTTAATGCTCTCCTTCAACAATCTCAAACCTATCTATCAGAATGGCATTTCATGCTGGACTTTTCTGATAAATTGTTGGTAGAGATAGCTGTATCTGGGAGCACGTATGTGTGAGTGTGTGTGTGTTTAGGTTTTCACTTAAAGTTCAGTGCCAAAACTATAGTACTTCCACATTTTCTAAACGTTTTAAGCAATAAGTTGTGCAACATTTTTAGAACATGTGTTAAGCTATTTCTCTAAGAATGAAGCTCTTAACAAAACATAAGCACTCTGCATGAGATCTTAGCAGCAAAGTGCTTAAAAGATAAAGTAAGAATTGGTACCATGGGAAGAACACCAGCTGTAGAGCACACAGGTCCATTATGAGAAGTATGGTAGTGAGTAGGGAGAAAATGATTTAATCAGGAGTAAAACCAATTTTATTATAAGGGCACGCAGGGGGTGTGGCACCATAGTGAGAGGGACATTTCAAAATATCTGACAGATTTCAACAATGTGAAAACCCCGTTCTTTAAAGTGACAGTAAACCCCATCAGGTCTCCCTTTTTGATGCTATTGTTAACAGTTGACTGTTTAAAGCTGGCCTGCTAAGATGCTGTCGTCCTATTTCAATAGTGTGTAGCTAAATAAAAGACTAATTGTTGAAATACAATCAATCACAAATGATTGCAAGACAGAAAGAAGGTCTCCTCTGCTGATTTTGTTGTGGATCATATCATTGTGTTATGATTGAGGTAGGACTGATGACTGAAAGGGAAGAAAAAAATAGGCCATCTGCAACACACAGATCCACCTTCCTTGCTTCTCATTGCAAAATCCTAGTGAGCAGAAACATCACTCACTAGCCCTGGAAATAATAACCCATGTAGAAAAAAAAGATTCAATAAAGATTTCAGCTAATATTTTTAAAAGGACATGAACAGTATTAGCAAAACAGTTCATGCAGAGATTCCCTACAGTGACAATTCTCAGCTTTTTTTTTTTTTTTTACATTTTTGGTGCAAATTCTTCTCTACAGTGAAAAACTGACACCAAGGAGGCATGTGAATGTTGGGTTAATACATTGATAAAGAAACAAAATTCCAGTTGACCAAATACCTGTTAAGTTCTTGCCAAGATATTCAGCTTTTCAATTAACCCTCAGGTTGTCTAAAATGACTAGCTTTAGTTTTCATTAAGCCCAGAATCCAAAATCTTTTCTATGTCACATAGAAAACAAGACAAATGTGATGGATCAGCTGCAAAGCTCTGGTGCCTTGCATCCTTTTATTTGTATATAAGGATGTCATTTTCAGACCCTATTGTACCCAATTCTTGGGTGAAAATGATTCTAGGCTTTCATACTGAGAGCAAACTGGAAAATAATAATTGTTCAACATCTCTTTATTTCATCCAAAAACTTCATTTTGGCATTTATTTTCTTTAATATTTAAATGTTTCAACTCACTCAGGCTTCCAAAGTAAGCATTTCCGTTGTTTCTAAGAGCAGTTGGTAAGCATTTGTGGTTTGTCTTTAGTGTGTTATCATTTTTGACAGCTTTGCATAGCCTACACAGGCCAACAGGGGTCTGTCTAATATTGTTGCTGGGTACATTTTCCTCGAGATGAAAACCAAAAAAAAAAGATATTTTTGAAGCAGTAAGAAGGAATTAATATCCTTTCTCACTCAGTATTCTATTCCTTGCTGACTTTATATTCAGAAAAAAAAAAGAAAGAAAGAAAGTGTTACCCATTATTCCCTTGTACATAGCAAGGCTAACACATGTAAAGCAATAACTCATTTTCTATTGCCATGTTTAGCATATGTCTCCTGTTGGCTCAGCAAGGCCTTTAGGCCGGTCCCTTGAGCCGGCCATCATTGGCAACTCTTAGCCCCTCGGCCTCAAAACCAAATAGCTTTGAATCACATTGAGCTGTGATGCTAATTTTCATACTGATGCATTATGGGAATAAATGTATCTGACATACTGTGTCAATGGCACTGTCTCTTTGTGTCTCTTGTTTTTTTGTTAGCAGCATTCCTACAGATGGTATTCCATTGAAAATGCTTCCTTCCTACGGAAAAAAAAGGGGGAAAAAAACATGCACAGCACCAAACCTCTAGGTGCAGAAGGCTGTTAACGGTTGCTGATGATAGTAGGCAAACATTAACATAATAATTAGTGTCTTGTAATTGTTTCATTAAAACCAGTTGTTCCATTTCTCCTCGTGTTTTCCCAGAAGAGAAGCTGAATTTGGACGACAGCCAGTGGGAGGACATCCACGTTGTCACCGGAGCACTGAAGATGTTTTTCCGGGAGCTGCCTGAGCCGCTCTTCCCTTACAGCTTCTTTGAGCAGTTTGTGGAAGCGATCAGTAAGTACCTTACACACAGGAGTGCTTGCTTGCTGGAGTAAGCTGGCAGCATGGAATTATTAAGTAAATAATAAGAATTTTGATAACAGCAATCATGGAGATAACAATATTCCCAATGCTCTACATCTTTCATTTTTGTGTTTGTGGTTTTGATGGCTTATTTTTATTTCTGGCCTGGCAATGTCATTTTTTTTTAATTAAGAAAAAAACTAGGAATTCTATTTGGGATGGCCAATTTTCAACCAAGCCTCTTTGAATGAAAATAGCTTCACATAGACTCTGTTTTAAAGGGGTCACCATTGGCATCCCCAATCCCTTCCTTTACACTTTGGGTATAAAGGGATCTTTAAAAAGAACCCCAGTGCATTAAATATTATATTTCATAAAGAAGTGTCAAATCATCAACTGGGGTATCACCTTCTCTTCACTCACTCACAGTTCACCCACCAACACTAGTAAATATTCATCTACAATTTGTTTGTGAGCAGTTTATTAAATTAAGCAATAGCAAGTTTCTTTTATTAAACTGATGACTTTGTGGGAGGTTAAGTTATATCACTTACTAGCCAATTGTCATTGTTCACTCTATGAAGCTTGCTTTTCTATTGCTTTCTCATCTATAACACATGCATATTTCAGTAAAAATGAATGAATGAATGAAAATTTTTCCAAATGCAAGGAAACCTCTACTGTTGATTTTTAGGGAAGCAACTCCTAGTTCATCTCTAAATTTAATAGTTTAGGGTACACTGACTATTGTGACAGATTTGAAAAAGTTCCCTGGCAGTAAGCTGATTCAAGGAAGAAAAGAAAAGAAGAAAGAAAGGTAAAATAAAAAGCCTGTGAGCCTGGTAGGAGTTGCATTAAAGTCCAAACAAGAAAAATCTGCAAGAAAAAATAATACTCTACTTAGGAGGTCTGATCTTGGTGGTATGTGCTGTGTTCCCATTAACGGGACTGGGGATTTGGGGAGCCCAGGTTGGAGAACAGTCCCTCGAGATGCCCTTTTATTCTGTTTTTTATTTCACAAAAATAAAGTTCTGGCAAAATGATACTGACAGGAGGAATAAAGTAGAGTTTATTCCCCCAAATTCTTTCTCTTGCTGCCTGCTCATGATTTAGGATTGTGTTGTTGTTGTTGTTGTTGTTGTTGTTGTTGTTGTTTTGAGGCTGGTATACACAGTAGCTGTGCTCAAATGATGAGTAGCTGTGCTCAAATGATGTGCTCAAATGATGAGGTGAGGCTGTACCTCTTATCTCCTGTCATAACGTTTAATTTCATGAGTCCTCTGCTTCTCGAGAAAAACAGTACTTTATAGTTCCTAGACTCTCATAACTTAAAAGGAGGAATAAAAAAAAATAAGGAAATTTGCATCACCATAACAGCTAATTCTGATGTTTTGTCTTGGAACACACAGTATGGATACCGCTCACAGTGAGAGGATGGTGTTCTGGTAGGAAATTGGAGAGACTTGCATTTGGGTACCTATCTCTGTGTATTTAAAGAAGTCATACAAATTTCACATCATGGTTTCCAAATATTTAAGTGAAGATGGTGTTATTTGGAAATGTACTTGTACATGTACTGATGTGAGGGCTGTAATACAGGACACCCATTAGTTAAGCTTCCCTTTGTTTACCTGATTTTAATGGTATTAGAGAAGCCATTCCTTTAGCTTAAGAGATAGAGGAAGCAGGCCCTCAGAACCCAGGTGAAGGTGTGCTCTTTGAATTCCCAGAAAGAGTAGGACCATTTTTGTATTATCCTAGGACTCATGTTCAAACTGGACAGAATTTCAGGAACACTGGCATGGTCAGAATGAGGCAAAGCTGAAGTGGGAAGCATGCTGTTGTGGCGATGGCTGTTGTCAGTACTTATAAAATGGGTGATGGTGAGAATGGATGAGATAGTGCTTAGGAAAGTCCCTTTAAAATGTAAGATGCTGTATGCATGCCAACAGCTGTATTTGAGAAATCAGTCTGGAAGTGAAGAGACAAGAGAGTTTTCCTTCATTGTTCAGGCAAGGGGAATCAATCCGAGTAAACTTGCCTTACCTAACTCAGTATAGTACTTAAAATATACTATCATGTATTTATGATATAACCTTGGATTAGTTTTTGTGTTCTAAATTCAGCTCTAGGTTGTAAATCATATTGAAATATCTTCAAGAAATGAGAAAATATCCACCTATTCCTTGGCAATGGTAAAACCACACCAGAGGGAGTACTTTTACCCCATTGTGTGCCAATTGAGTAAGAAAAAATATTTCAAAATATAAAATATAAATATGGACCCTCTGGGTCCATCCAGTCAGTCCCAGAGGGATGATGAATTTATCATAGCTCTCACTGCCTCTTGTAAAATCTATACAGTGAGAAGCTCAACAAATTTTCCCATGAGTTCTTGGCTTTTTTATAAGAGGAAAAAAAACAGGAATTGATCAGGTAAAGTAAATTCACAGGGGAGATGACCATATATGTGGCCTCTGGGCCTCTTTGGCCATTCTTATTCTTCTCCTCTATGCTCTGTATGGTTGGAAGCTTGACCTTAGCCAGCTGTACTTCACAGGTGCACTTGTCTTCCTGCTCTTGTAGTCAGTGGAAGTCACCAGCAGTAGATAGCAGGAAGAAGGGAAAGAAAAGGCAAGCCAGTTTATTAGTTTACCTCCCCACCCCCTCTCCCTTGGCCATCCCTCTGCCCTGGTTGGCTTCTTTGCCTGAGGGTCCATCTCCTCCATGGCTCCAACTTGGGTTGGACAGACTCACTCTGGTTCCAACTTGTCTTGTGATGTTTTGCTGCCTCCCTCTGCCCTCCAGCATGGTAGTGGCTTCCTGCAATGGCTAGTTTTTTTGGTTTCTTCTCTCTTCCTTATTTGGCTATTAGCTTCTTTGTTACATGGGTAACCAGTTCCCTGTATCAAAATAACTTGCTCTATTGGCATAAATACTTAAAGTGGTTTCTGGGTTATTTTTTTTGTTTAAACATTAGCAGAACACCAAACCAGTCAATGTCGCAGTTCATATAGCTATAACATTATTTCCCTTTTCTCTCTCACTGTCCCTAAACCCAGTTTGTGATGGTTTAACATTTTTACTTGGTCCCAAATAGAGAGATCTTTTACCGTTGTAGGACAGAGTTGAAAGATGAATAGACCAAAGCAATTGTACCTCCATCCAAAATGCTTTATCTCTGAGGAAGAAATTTTATTTCATGTATAAGCAAGTAATGACTACTATTTAAATTACTGTTAATTTTCATTATATGTTTGAAAGTCATCATTACACACTCCAGGAAAAGAGAACAGAAGGCATTTACTTTTTAAAATAGTTTTTTTGGACCCAAAGCAAACATTAGTATGATAAGAACCTGCAATTGCCATAGTGATCCTCTGTCTGATAATACCCATTGGGGTAACAAAAACACTAAAGATTGTTTTATATTTCAGAATCCAAGTACCACAGTTATTGATCTGAAATTCTATATTTAAGGTCAATGGAACTGGGTTACCTGCAGGGTATTTTGGTGGGGATTTAACCCACTGACTGCAGTAATTAATTCTCTGGAATTGACTTATGCTGAAGGCATGATTAGTACTGTAAATGTGAACTTGGTACAAAAACACAGTCTGTAGCTATAGACTTTTATGATAGGTCATACAATATGTGGCTAAAGGGCTTCAGGGGTCTGGACATTTCAACTTTTCAAAGGATATGCCTCACCAGGTCAGGTAGAATTTATTTTATTGCACTCCAAAAATTGCTTAAACTCTTGGCCATATTTTGTTTCCTTTGTTGAATCATGATTTTCCTGTATAGATATTTTTTGAGTTTGTAGTTGTTTTTCTTTTTCCTAGTTTTTTTTTCTTTTATAATGCCCTTAGTCTTTTCTGACACTATTGTCCAAAGTCCCATTTTTTTCTAGGATGTCTCCTTTCTAGAACCTTCTGTCTTCTAATTCATATTCAATGGTCGCTTCCAGGGAACATCAGGGATTTCTTTCTGCTTTCTGAGCTAGAGCCTCTGTTTCTTACAATACATGTGTATTAATTTCCTACTGCTGCCAAAAATTACCTCAAACTTAGTGGCTTAAAGTATAGTGATTTATTATCTTACGGTTCTATAAGACAGAAGTCTGACACTTGGTCTCACTGGGCTAAAAGCAAAGTGTAAGAAGGACTGCATTTCTTTCTAGAGGTTCCAGAGGAGAATCCACCTCCTTGCCTTTTCCAGCTTCTAGAGGATGCCTGCATACCTTCACCAGTGGTGTCCTTTCCCCACCTTCACAGGCAGCAATTACCTGACATTACGTCACTCTGCCCTCCTCCACAGTCAAATGTCCCTCTGACTTTCTTTCTCCTCCATCTTCTACTTTTGAGGACCCTTGTGACTACATTAGGCCCTCACAGATAATCCAGGATACCTTCCCTATCTCAAGGGTCTTAACTTAATCACATGTAAAAAAAAATCTCTTTCACCATGTATGGTGACATATTCACATACATATTCATGTATGGGAGTTAAGGTATGTACATGTTGTGGAGCCATATTTCTTTCTACTCCATGTTTTTCCCTCTCTTACTTCCTACAGGTAGCACCTGCTTCACGTCCATGTCACAAATGTTCTTAATTCATCAATTTTCATGTGCCTTCTCTTAAATACAAATGATCATCAGAGTTGACATGTCAGTGAAACTATAGACTAATTAGTAGATGATAGAGAAGTAAAGAGAATTTACTTTACATATTTACCTACAAGATGTGTTATCTATTATTTCTGAGGGGTAGTCTTAGAGATTTGACACAAGCCTGCACCAAATCTCATTTATTCAAGGACTATCTGTTAATTTCATTTTGGTAAGCTTCTTCATTTCACCTCTTTGGAGCTCATAATTGAGTGTGTGAGTTTGTACTTATTGACATGTTATATTCTGAGTTTCCAAATTTGCCTTCCATGTACAAAAATAATTATTTTTCTTCCCACCCCTGGATAATGTTCTATA